AAGGGAGAATGCATACCTCAGCGATGACGTGCCTGCGGACGGAATAGGCGCGAGCTAACACAAAATGGGGGTCAGCTACGACCTAAAACAGTGCAGGAATAAGTGTGATGTGCAAGGAGGTCCACAAGATTCAGTGCTGTGGCAGGCAGTAAGAAATGATGATTTTAGACGTGGGACAAAGTCGAGGGCGGCGTGGGACGGATGCGACGAAGCAGAGGGTCGAAATACCCAAGTAGAAACGAGCTGAAGACGAGAACTGAACTCAAGACTATGAGGAGAATAAATCTATTTTTCTTTTGTCCAACTACAAGCTTTTGTATGTGAGACAATGAAATAATCATCAGAGTGGGTGAAATATCGACAGGATGGAGCAAGGGACGGTGAACAGAGGAACCAGGGAAGTGAGAGGGGAAAAACAGGTACAAGTGGATGGTGAAGTAAGAAAGGCAGGGGTGTAGAGATAAATGTGCAGACAGCAGTCCAGGGATGTGAATATCAAAAATATATGCAGGGCTGGACGAACCAGTGAATAGCCAGGGCTGAGGAATATTGAGGAGACCCTCAGTTGTGTGCGAAGCGTGCGCCCACTGATTGCTGATTGACATGCACTGCCACACGTCAGGACTTGTCGGATAGATAGGCCAGTCCGTCATCTCCTCCTGACTGAAAAAATGACCGTCCTCGGTCATAGAATAGCGGACAAGTGTCTTGAGGAATAGAAATGTGAAGATAAAGGCTCAGTAGATCATCATAGCCTTAGCTCCTCGGAGCTGCGCAAGACAATGATGAATCAAAGGATGCGACTTGGGGGGAAAGGAATGGGCAGCAAAGTCGAAAGGAGAGGGTGCTCAGCTGTGCAGGTGCATCCTCCTGACTGAAACGCGTTCTCTAACTCTTCTACAACTCTTCACAGCTCTCCTCCTCTTCCTGATCTGTTTCTGGGTCCACCAATGTTGACTGCTCGAGCTCGCGCAGTTTCTCGGTTGAGATATCGAGGAAATCGTCCAGGGGAGGGAGGGGGATCGTTGTGCGTGCAAAATAAGGTATAACACGAAAAGCGGCGATGGGACGATGGAAAACTGAGCCGTCTAGCTCACACAGGATGTAGGCGCCTCCCTTGTTGCGCGAAATGACGACTAATGGGCCCAAATAGCGTTTGCGCATCTTCATATTGAGGGACTTCTCGATGGCCGTGTTCCTCATCAAAACCAGGTCGCCCTGCTTGAAGTTGAAGTCGCAGATCGTGGCGGCGTGCTCGATCTCGAAGCGTGCAGCGTCACGCAGTCGTGCTTGATAAACTCGAGAGTGTAGGGCTTCTAGATCGCTTCGGCGTTTCTGGAGCGCAATGGCGCGTCGTGCAATGAGATCCGTGGTCGAAAGGACGGTTTCGGGCGGCGGGAGCAGGTATGTGGCTTCTGATAAATCGAGGGGAATTAATGGATGCGTTCCAGTGACCGCAAAATAGGGTGAGCAGCCCATGCGACGACGGACAGTGACACGGTCCGCCCAGAAGACCGAATAAGCAGCAGAACTCCAGTTCTTCTGCTCCCCATCTACAGCCTTGAAGAGCGCCTCGCGGATGTCGAAATGTGGATTTTCAATCAGCCCATTTGCGCGTGAGTTGTATCCCGAAATGCGCACATGACGGACGTGATACTTAGCTTCCAGGTACGCCAATGCCTTCACAAACGGTGCGCCGTTGTCTGACACGATTTCTGTGAGCGTCCCCCATCTGCAGATCAAGTCCTGGAAGATCCATTCGCCCAGGGTGGTCGCTGTCTCACGGCGCAGCATGCGGAACTCAGGAAAAAGCGAAATCGAGCATCGTCCTTGCACAATGTAGCGGAATCCAGCGCTTGGCGGCATGTGCATAGTGTCCATATGAATTTTCGAAACAGTGGGGCCGGGACCGCGACGGTAGGGGGGATAAGGAGCTTTTTGTCTGTCGAATCTGACATAGGTGGCAGGTGCGTAGGTACCAGGTGACGTCGTGTGCAAGGAATGGCCACCAGAATCGTTCCGTGAGTAAAGCCTTCGTTGCGTGGAATCCCTTGTGACCAACGTCGTCGTGGGCAGATCGCAGGATGAATATTCGACGGTGGGAGGGAACGACTAGCTTGTGGCGTCCGTGTGCGTCCTTGCGCCAAAGCTTTCGATTTTCGAGGTAGAATTCCATGCTAAACCGAATAAATGCCTGATATTGCTGTTCAGACATGTCCCGTGGGCGTCGTAGCGTCTCAAGCCATCCCTGAACCAGATCTACACGATGATCGGCGAGTCGAGCTGCTTCTGAGCGAGGTACCTGATCGTAGCTCAGTGTAGGCGGTGTTGTGGACTCGGTGGGTGCAATTTCGGCGGAAAATGAGTGGATCGTGGATTGGCGTCGTGAAACGAAGGGTAAGTCATTGATTATGTGCATAAAACCGTGCACCTCGTCGATCCAGTCATCAAAACCGTCGTCCTCATGCTCTAACTCGTCTCCAGGCTGTGCGGGTCGTCTGGACAATCCATCCGGGCCGTGTTTGACGCCAGGGACATGTACTAGCTCGAAATGGAAGGTTAAGATCGCCAGGATCCAGCGGTTGATACTGGCTGAGGGCAAAAGATCGGGGTTCCGTAGCATACCCTTGATGTACCTAGCATCGACTTCAACCACTAGATTTCGTAGACCGATCAGGTGGAGCTTCCATGAACGAAGGGCGCGGAATAATCCATACAGCTCTAGCTTGGGCTGTGAAAATCGAGCTTCTCGATCGTTAAGCGTGATTGAGCCAAACCGGGCATAGAAACGTCGACTGGGAGTGTTTGGATCGCACTGGGCAAGCAGGAAACCAACGGCGATCTGAGAGGTGTCCACGGATAAGATAACTGGGTCCCCAGATGAATAGTCGATTGGCCGGAGCGCAGGGCAGCTCAATAATGCGTGCTTCAGGTCGTCTTGGGCAGCGATCTGTGCAGTACCGAAGTGGAATGGCATATCCTTTCGTGTTAGAAGTGTCAGGGCGTGGGCACGATGCGCAAAATTTGAAATAAATGCACGGCAGACTCCTATGGTGCCCAGAAATGCACGGACTTCTGAGAGCGTCTTGCAGGGTCCCCAATTTGCGATTTTGTCGACTCTCTTCTCATCAGGGATTCGTCCAGCCGGTGTGCAGACATGTCCAACAACTGTGATGGTTTCGGCGCAGAGTATGAGCTTGAGGCCAGAGAATGTCCCTCCGCAGTACTTCATCCTCTGAACGATTCGATTCAGATTTCCAAAATGTTCCCAAACGAACCGGCGAATCCCTGGATTCTCAGGGATCGTCTCAAATGATCCATCTTCTAGCTGATATCTCGATTTGGGGCCACGGCCCGGGACGTCGTCGATGTATGGCCAAGTAAATTCCGGGATTTCGGGCTGGAGGATGTAGGTGACGTCGTCGTGGAAGATGGGGACTGAATTCGTCCATCCATGGGCAGGGTAACAAGTCTGAGAGCTCCATAGGGCGTCTGGAACGTTGTATAGTCGCGGGAGGCTGGCGCAAGCAACCGTTCGTCATATCCAACATATAAATCCAGCATGGCACCACAGGCTCGTCCTGCAAAATGCTCAGCCAGCTGCTCAGTGAACGGCGTGACGCCTGAGTGCTGAATTGTGACGGCGTTGAGTGGCTCCAGGGAATGAACCAAACGAAGGCTGGTGCCATCTTTCTTCACCACACAGAACCAACGGGATCGATAGGATGAATTGGACGGTTCGTACACTCCAGCAGCGATTTTCGAGCGTATGAGGTCGCAGACTTGATCGTAGATCCAGGGGGAATGGGGACATTGCGCTGGACCCACGGTGTGTGCGGCATGACTGGGATATTGACAGGGGGAAAGAAATCGGTTCGAAAACGTCCTCGTTCTGATTCTTGCCATGCAAAGGCTCCTTGGTGAAGGCACATGAAATGGTGCATTAAATCTCTCTCAGCAGGCCACAGGAAGTCACCGCGGTGTGCGTCGTCAAGAGCAGCCTTGCGTTCGGCGGTTGTAGCGTCCAGTCGGCACAAAAGGAGGCGGAATAGGATCCAGATATGGTAAATCTGCGAGTGGGTCGCCCAGGATCTGGCGCTCGATGCGGAATTCGTCTGGGACAGATCCAAGAACAGGCCGAATTTTCCTGGCCACTGGCTTGTACTTTTTGTTAGCAAATTGTGACGTGGACGGGTAGAATTGAGATGAGGAGACGTAGCAGTAGGATAGGTACGAGACGAGTTCAAAGAAAATATGGGAACGAATTTTGAACCAGGAGTTGAATCTGGGTCGCTGAGGAAAACGCCGGTTGAACGACTGTATGTGCAAGAGAAATAGTCGAACTGTGTGCGGATAAATTGCTACAGGCAGAGAGATAAGTATGTTGTATGTGCGCAAGAGAGTCTGTGAGAGAAATGGGGGCATAGGACGAAAATACGTAGCGTTCTGGTTGATCTGGGCTGGCCTCGATCACAAAGGCGTACTCTCCTTGATCAGGAATCAAATCCTCGAGCTGCGAAACCCTCTGAACGGGCACGGGGAGATCCGCGGGGCACAGTAGGCACAGTAGCCGTCTTTCCAGTGTTGGGATCGGTGATTGTGAGTGTTTGATCCGTGTTGGAAAAGTTTCGAATGACGCTTTCCGTCAGAACGTCAAATGGTCGTCCCAGGAGCACGTCGTAGGCAGCGTCACGCAGAATGTGCATCTGTAGGTACAATGTGATGTCCCCAATGCGAACCGGGACGTTCGGGCTAGTCCAAGCGACGGTGTGATTGTTCCATTGGCAGATTGCATTTGTAGAACGATTCGAGGGTCATACGCAAGTCCCAACTCGTGACAGGTTGCCTGGGACATCGAAATAATCTGAGAACCACTGTCGACGATGCATTCCACTTGGTTGGTTGTCAATCACTGGGAGGATCGAGGGATGGCCAGGGACTCGGCAGCCACAACTAGATTGTCTGGCAACCTTCCAGTCTGATCGTAGTAGACGGCGAATTTATCTGGACCACCCAAGCGTCTGGGGGCAACGTCTGGCTGTAGGCGACTGGAAAATGTCCGCAGCCAAAGCAGCAAGGCGTGCATCTTCGTTTCGTTGTGCTGAAGCACTTTTTCGACCAAATCTGAGTCGTCCTGAGCATGGAAGGTCGTAGGGCGTGCTATCAGGACAGGATGCAGGAATTGAGGCACTGCCTCGCCAGTCTTGGCAGGGGGGACGACGGAAACTAGTGGCTTCGCGGAATTGAGCACGGACTTCTGGGGCAATCGACAGGGTCTGGCGAAGCGTCTGGGTGACAGGGATGTCCAAAATGGCGTCGAAAACAGCTGCAGCATCTTTGGGGTTGTAGATCGGAGCCGAAGAGCGTGGGGGTTGTGATTTCTGCGCTGGAATCCCAACATTTCGTTCTTTGGGCGGTGCGTAAGCGCCATCACGAGCTGCGGCGTACGGATGGATTGGGGGTTGAGGCGGGGCAACTGGAGCAGCAGGGGCGGTCGCAGGAGGGACGGTTTCGATTGGAACAGGTGGAACGACTGGATTTCGCGCTACCGCCGGTGGAATAGTGCGTTCAGGGACTTCTGGTTGATTAGCAACTTCCATAGCGCGTTTAGCTTGGGCCCGTGTGCGTAGTTGATTAATTTCAGCCGTCAGAACTGCCATTCGTTCTTCGTCCGTGAGTTTGAACGTTGAACGAGCCCAGGCGCCGCAGAAGACAGCAAATTCTGGTGAGAAACTTCCAAATCATCTGCGGAGCTGCTGCCTGACCTGGGTTCGCTTCATGCCACTTCTGAATGCGCTCTCGAAGATCCTTTCCTTGGACAATATTTGGCACATATGCGCCTGAGGGGAGGACGACTTTCCCCTCCACATTGCGGCGGCATTTTCCGTCTCGAATATCCGTCGAAACGTGGGGACATTGGCTGATAAAATGCTCGAGATCACTGCAATAACTGCAGCCATCAGGACGGCGACGGCGGGGCAGGGCGTTGGCGGACTGTGATTGTGCTGGGGCACCAGGATTGGCGTGTTGAGCAGCGATTATTCGAACTAGATCTGAGAGGATGAAACTAGTGCAGTAATTCCAGGGTTGATTTGATTGTGAGCTCGGTTCCGGGCTGAGACGTGGGCATTCCAGGAAGTAAGTCGATGATCCTGAAAGGACGAATTTAGCAGCGTCGTACAGATCTGACAAATCATATGGATCCTCAGGGTGAACGGGCTTCTTGATCTGAAGTCTCTGGGAACTGAGACGGACAACGAGGCTGGATTCATAGCTCGAAGGAAAAATCGGCTCTGTTCTGCCACAGAGAGTCGTTGTTTGCTAATCAGGAATGTTGTGATGTGTAGGAATCGTCGATAAAATTGTGTGTGAGGTCGTCTTTGTGTGGATTCCCGCGAGATGTTGCCCAACGAGCATGTCCAAATCGTCGAGGCTGAAACGACGATCTGTGTCGTTCCCTGCGTAGAGGCTGAGGGCGTCCAATTTGAAGTCGTGGTACGATTTGTTGGCGTCTGAGAATGACGGTAGACCTTCCCAAAATCTCCTGATCTTCGACGGAAAGGAATCTGACCGCATGCCCCTTCATTTGGGCAGCGTCAGTGACGGCAGATCGAGCTAGAAGGAACTCCAGATCGAGGAAATAACGGCGCAACTCGTGGGGCTTGGACGAATCAAAGACTGGGGCGTTTCGATCGCCTCTGGCTGGGCATGGGAGTGGGAGTAGCCATATTTTGAGAAGGAATATTCGTGTTGTGAAGGGGGGGATGGTGAACGCGTTGTTGGAGGCGAATCAAAGAGCCAGGATAGCGTTGGAGAGCTCGGGGAATGCGGTGAGAGGTTGTGTGTTGTGCAAGGGCGCTGGGGACAATGTCAAAAAGGTGTTCGTCGTCGAAAGAGAGAGTTGTGGGGTCGTTGAGAGCAACAGCTAGCTCTTCACGGAGCGTGCGACGTAGCTCAGAATGATTGTTGTGTCGCAGACTGCGAGAGGCACCAGAATCTATGTTGAAATCCCTCGCGGTGGGCTCCAAAATGATGCCTGCGGACGGAATAGGCGCGAGCTAACACAAAATGGGGTCAGCTACGACCTAAAACAGTGCAGGAATAAGTGTGATGTGCGAGGAGGTCCACAAGATTCAGTGTGTGGCAGGCAGTAAGAAATGATGATTTTAGACGTGGGACAAAGTCGAGGGCGGCGTGGGACGGATGCGACGAAGCAGAGGTCGAAATACCCAAGTAGAAACGAGCTGAAGACGAGAACTGAACTCAAGACTATGAGGAGAATAAATCTATTTTCTTTTGTCCAACTACAAGCTTTTGTATGTGAGACAATGAAATAATCATCAGAGTGGGTGAAATATCGACAGGATGGAGCAAGGGACGGTGAACAGAGAACCAGGGAAGTGAGAGGGGAAAAACAGGTACAAGGGATGGTGAAGTAAGAAAGGCAGGGGTGTAGAGATAAAGTGCAGACAGCAGTCCAGGGATGTGAATATCAAAAAATATATGCAGGGCTGGACGAACCAGTGAATAGCCAGGGCTGAGGAATATTGAGGAGACCCTCAGTTGTGTGCGAAGCGTGCGCCCACTGATTGCTGATGGACATGCACTGCCACACGTCAGGACTTGTCGGATAGATAGGCCAGTCCGTCAGCGAGTGTAAGACACAGGAGCTGAGGATATGGAGCGTATAGTACTAGGTTTATATACCAGTCTGGAGCAGATATCATGATGTCATAGTGATGTAATGCTATCATAGAGAGTAATGTATGACGCAATAATGAGGTAAGGTATGAGGTCATTGTGGAGCGAGCAAAGTAATCTAAGAATGCTACTTATGATGTCAGTCTACATACTGTGATAGTCGCTAATAACAAACAAGCTTCAACACTCCCACTCGACTAAACAGTCGGATCACGAAGACCCAAAG